TATCAGCTTTAAGGTGAGTTTAAAAATGCTGTAATGTTATAAGGATTAAAAAGCTGATTGTTATTCTATTCATTTTACCTTTCTGATCTATTTCTTTAAAGCAGCTAACTGGGATTAAATGAAAGGATGCTGGGACAATAAAATGAAAATATGTGAAGATACGTTTGAGGCTAATAGGTTTTTGCTTGAAAGTAACAAACACACAATATATGAGTTAGTAAGACTTTATAAATGAGACTGCAGGGTGTGATCAGATTTCTTGCAATCAAACAAACAGAGAAGCAGCTGCTCTGCTTGTTTCATTGTCAATATTCCAGGCTTAGAGGCTTTAAGTGATTGGCTAATTCACCATCTTTTTTTTTAACAGTGTCCTGTCTGGCAATGTGGCAATAAGAATAATTGTCTTGATGCCAAAAAGAGCCCAACAGATTTTACTTTCACAAGTGTAGCAGTATGGCAATTGCCATATTTCTCACCTGCAACGAGATGCAAAAAGAACAGCACAACCGAAAGACATGGTACGAGACATACAATAAAGCAACAGCTTGAAACTATCGCTGAAGTAGTATTATTTAGTTTGACATGTACTCTGTGTTACCTGAAGATAAGAGTGTGGGCTTTCTGTATGGAAGTAAATCTCTGAGTACCTGGAACCAAGCACCTGTAGTTGTTTGTGAGAGTGCACTTGTGCAGGTGAAGTTTATCAATAGAAAAAATGCTGAATGCTTAATCACCATTTTTTGAACAAAAAAAAAATAATTTCACCAACAAGTAAGAATATAAAATATTTATGATTAGTGCTCTATATTAAAACATGCTTCATTAGAAGGATAGCTGTTTAGCTAAATAAACCTCTAATAAGTTTCAATCCTCATCAGTGTGATTCATGATAATAAGAATAAGAAGCAACTTGTGGATAAGTGTTTATTTTTCTAACCTTCTATAATTCAGTCAGTTAAAGGAGAAGTTCGGTTTTTTACACTTTAAGCCCATTTTCTGTAGTGTCCAGAATGAAATCGAATGATCGACACCAAAAGTTTGACAATTGCTCCTGTCTCTGCTTTTTGGCTCATTTAGAATCCACCCCTGGCTGCTTCATAATGGCTGCCATAGTGCATGTCCGATAATGTCCTTAAAACAACCTTAAACGTTCTTTTTTTTAAATATGCTACTCACCGTGTCGTCAGCGCTGTTCAATGACGTTCCAAAAAAAGTTTCGTGAAGAAAAAACTTTCCTGTAGTGTTTTATTTAGCATTTTGTAAATCCCATTGAGTTCTGTTGGAATAGTCAATATTCCCCTGCCACCGGAAACGGAAATTGGGCCTGTTTACACAGTTGTAGTCTTTTCGCTTCACTCTGTGTACTCCGACGTCGAGGTGCTAACGTCTCTGTTAAACACTTTAAAAAACTCTGAAAATGGAATACGAAAGGTGGATTCTTGATTCTAGACGTCGGAGTACACAGAGTGAAGCGAAAAGACTACAACTGTGTAAACAGGCTCCATTTCCGTTTCCGGTGGCAGGGGAATATTGACTATTCCAACAGAACTCAATGGGATTTACAAAATGCTAAATAAAACACTACAGGAACGTTTTTTCTTCACAAAACTTTTTTTGGAACGTCATTGAACAGCGCTGACGACACGGTGAGTAGCATATTTAAAAAAAAGAACGTTTAAGGTTGTTTTAAGGACATTATCGGACATGCACTATGGCAGCCATTCTGAAGCAGCCAGGGGTGGATTCTAAATGAGCCAAAAAGCAGAGACAGGAGCAATTGTCAAACTTTTGGTGTCGATCATTCGATTTCATTCTGGACACTACAGAAAATGGGCTTAAAGTGTAAAAAACCGAACTTCTCCTTTAACTAGAAAGAGAAGGTGCTGACTGCTGAGAAAAGCTCTACAGGATCCCTCTTCAAAAGGACATGTTCAATCAAAACAAACCCAGCTACAATTTTTCCAATAAAATCCCTTTTAAATATACTTTTAGTTAGATTGGTAAAGCATAGGAATATGCGATAAACTTCAAATTTTGCTTTGTTTAATAATTAGTCAAATTAGTTACGAAGGACAGAGAATGGAAGCTGCAGAACCAAATGTGTTTTGTTCAGAAAAAAAAATGACATAATCGTGCATCAGGTGGTACAACTAGCTGTCAGTAAATTGACTCGGAAACATTAAGAAATGATAAGTTATTGCCCTGAAGAGCTGGAACATGTGATAGAGGAGCAGTATGGGGTTTTCAGATGTTATCTGAGGAAGGAATCTGAGTTATGCTGCAGTCACATGGTGTGGCACACTGCATTGGAATGATTGCAACAAAGATACAAAGAGCTGCTTTTCGTCTCCAGGTAAGACACACGTCAATGCACTTCAGCAATTTAAACAAATTAACACAATAAGGATTTTTGTTTGTTTGGTTAGCATTCCCTGAAACATTACTGAAGGTGGACTTTCGCGGTACAAAAACAAGAACTGAAATTTGATAACATAGAGAGAGATGCACCTTCAAAAACAAATAGCATGTGTGTGAGCTAACTTACACATAGGTTTTAAACAGGCTTAAAGTCTCACATTGCTGTCAAAAAGGGAAATGGCATTTACTAATTGCTTTCTGCATGGATGTCTTAATAATTGCACATTTCTGCTAAGTAATTATAGAGAGTTAAAAAAATAATGTAGTCAATCATTTCGGGCAACTTAATAAAGGAGAAGCTTCTTTCATAAATAGTTTTCTTAGTTACAAAAAAGGAGTCGAATTGGACACACTTTGATCAGACGAATCTCTCTGCTGAGTGTGACTAACCTTGAAGGAATGTCTTTGAGCTCTGCAGGTGCAGAAACCATACAAAAAAGATGCCACAGAGATATCAGAGCGTCAGCCAGTCGGCCGGCTACTACTTGGTGACCGAAATCTACCCTATGCTTTTGCAGCTGATGTACATCTGATAACTCTGAGCAAGAAGTGTGGTGAAACTCTGTGTCAGACAGCATCTTGGTTCCTCCAATAGTGGCTCATACAGGCGCAGGTTGAGAGAAACCAGTCTGCAGGTGTCCCTCAGCATCACATGCCTCAGGATGACACGGGGGTGACAGAAAGCCTGTGGCCATGAGAAAAATATCTACTAAGAAGGTTCACATGATTAGAATCAATGCAAATGCTATTTGTCCAATGCTTTGTCCTGTCCTTCCTAAAATATACTATGCTTAGTGTACAGTTGTGCTTGAAAGTTTACATACCCTTCATTTAAAGAAAATGAAAGATTCACGCTAGTAACTCAATTGAAACACAAGGCTGAAAAAAGTTTTTAATTATAAATGATAATTAAGTAAAATAAAATACTGATTTTGAATTTTTTGTAAGAAATTGCAGGTCTTACTAAACATTTCCAAAATCTTACAGAAAACACCTGACTATAGTGATTGTCTTAAAATATTGCACAACAAAATTTCCGTTCAGGAAGTACATCAGGCTTGTTTACTTCTTTGAATATACATATCCATCCATCCATCCATCCATCCATCCATCCATCCATCCATCCATCCATCCATCCATCCATCCATCCATCAGCAATACACAACAAATCTAGTTTGATAAACAATCAGGTCTTCTGATTGTTTTTCCTGTTTCTATGAACAGTTTACTGGTGGAACCTTCAAAGTTCTTCATAGCAGAAGATCTGAAGGAAGAAAGAATCTCCTGACCTATCACAACTCACCGCCTACACTTAATGTTAATTTGGCACCACAACTGCAGTAAAAATCCAACATTTAAAATCTGATTAATGTGACAGCAATTTTTCCCCCTTAGAGTAGATTTTTCCTCTTTCAGCAATCAGGTAGTGAAGTTCAGGCTCTACAATTCTGCAGATAACAGAAAATGTTTACCAGAAAATATTTCACTAGGTTTACTGGTTTTTCACCAGTAAACCTGGTGAAAAACCACAGGAAATTTTTGACCTCTGTAAATGCAAACAAAAGGTACTACACTAAATATTAACATTGATTTTCTTAGGTGTTCAAATACTTATTTGCAGCTGTATCATACAAATAGTTAAAAAATCATATATTGTGATTTCTGGATTTTTTTTTTTTTTTTGTAGCTTTAGTCTCTCACAGTGGACATGCACCTGCGAATTTCAGACCCCTCCATGACTTCTAAGTGAGAGAACCTGCAAAACAGAGTGTTCAAATACTTACTAACTAACTACTAAGATTTACTCAGTTACATTTACTTGGGTAACTTTTTAAAGAAAACGTACTATAAAGAGTAATTTTATAGCATTTTACTTTCTTCTCTTGCATGAGTAAAATTTCTGGCTACTCCATCCATTGTGATTTTACTTTAAAAAAAAAAAAGGTTTGTTTTAAACAAACATCATAATACACTAATAATAATAATACAAATGTGTTATCGAGTAATTAACACCAGAATTTGTTTGTAACTTTATATTGTTTAACTTTATATTATTTTGTAAATCAGTTGTTAAGATTATGTGTGTTAAGTAGATCAGTTACTCAGCACTTGAGTGTTTTACTAAATGCTTTTTCTCTCTTACTGAAGTAATTTTTTGGATGGCTATTTTTTACTTTTACGTAGGTAAAAATATAATGAAGTAGTGCTACTTTTACTTCAGTACAATTGTTTGGTAATCCACCCACATATGTAGGTATGTATAAATATTGTATGTATATTCATACATTCGTGTGTGTATTAGTATAAGTGTGGAGATACCTAGATATTTATAGGTGTTCATGTATGTATGTATTTACATGTGAGTAGGTACAATATGATGATGTTAGCGTATGCATGCGTATGTGTGCATGTTGGTAAGTATTGATGTGCATATAAATTTAGATATGCACATATAGAAAGCAATTTTCTTTGTAAAATGTGTGTGATATGGGAAACATGATGAGGCCAACTGAATGTGATATTGATAGTGTGAGAAGGGGCAGGTTTTAATAAGATTTTCTTCTTCCTACCCCCTTTTCCAGACAGGTTGACTGGTTCGGGGATTAATTCCTGGCCTGGGTTCTTCACCTGTATGGGTGAGTTTTCTCTGGGTACTCTGGTTTCCTCTCTCAGTCAAAACCACACGACTGTTTGGTTAAAGGGCTTCTCTACATTGTCCTTAGGTTTGAGTGTGTGTGCATTGTTGTTTGTCTATGTGTGTGTCTGTGTTGCCCTGCAACAGACTGGCAACCTGCCCAGGGTCGCCCATAGACTGCCAGGTTTAGGCACTGGCCCCTGCTTATTCCCCTGGATGGAATAAGCAGGAGAAGAGGGATGGATGGATGGATGGATGGATGGATGGATGGATGGATGGATGGATGGATGGATGGATGGATGGATGGATGGATGGATGGATGGATGGATGGATGGATGGATGGATGGATGGATGGATGGATGGATGAATAAATAAATAAATAAATGTTTTGTTTTCTTAACATAAGATTTATTATAATAATTCCAAAAAAAGTAAAAAAAAAAAAAGAAAGAAAACAAAGTAAATGGACTATTTTCATAGATCAATGCAGTTTACGGGCGTGCTCGCCATTTTTAAGTGAGAAGATGAGCTCCTTTTTTTCTGTACAGTTTCTCCTATGTATTCTTAGGCAGTACAACACCACCTAAGTGTCCAACAAGTTGGACATTTTTACTCAATGCCTTGATTGTTGAGGTTCCAGTTGAGTTTCTCTAAGATGTGGACAAACAAGAGCCTTCAGATGAGATGTTTTTTTGTACACAATGCCTGCTGATGTAGACATAAGTGTCCCAGCTGACATTTGTGAAGCATGCAGTGACCTCTTCAGTACTGCACGAATCACACTGTCAGCCGCTGGGTTTCCTCTTTGCAGAAAGCCCAGTGGCTGACAGTAGGTGGTTAGCCAGTCTCCTCTAAACTTCCTTTCTGCCCTAAGACCTCATAGTCTTTGGCACTCCCTATTTATGGAGCTAAAGAACAGTTTTAGTTTGTAATGTTTAAGCTCACTATTATAAGGGAGCAGCATATGAACTATAGATGTATCACATAGTGCTGAATACACATACCACCCTACTTGGAATCCAGATGAAAACTCGCCCTGCGTGTTTTCCAGTCATATGACAAAGGATTGTTCAGAGCCAATTGATCAGCACAGCTGTCAAAAAAAGAAGTGAGTAATCTTCTCCTTCTGCAAAGATGTTGTTTCCTTCATATTGTTTTTTCCTACGAGGCATATAAATCATACCTCTTTCATCTGACAAACTAAACGTTACAGAAAACAAGCTCAACCAGTGAGGTTTCAATAGCAAAAATGCCTCAGGGTTGATAGAGAGAGTCAAATGATGTAAGATACACCTTCCTCATAGCACAAACTGCACTTCTCATTTTATAGCCTAAGATAGTTTTGTATTACCATGTCAATTGTTATGTAATTTTATTAGAAGTCTGGATATTTATATTTCTACTTTCACTGCTGTATGTGTAACTATTAATGAAAAAACTATAAAGGATCACTTACCATTGTTTTTTTTCAGTTTGGGAATATTTCTAGGAAATATTTAACAGTAATATTCAGTTTCTAAGAAAAAATGTATCCTTAATACATCTTTTGAACATCAGAAAGTTTATTTTCTTTTCATTTTATGCAGAATTGGTCTCACTTTATTTGAAGCATGAAGTATTTAAGAATTGTATTTTGAAAAGAGGATTATACTCAATAATATGCCTAATCCATACAAAAAGAGGACATCCATGTTTATAAGGAATATGTAAACAGTACATTTAAGACACTGATACAAAGATGCAAAGGATCAGACTGATGTTTTTTCTGAGTCTGCAACAGAACGTTACCTGTCAGTGACTTCACATGCCATCATCATCATCAGACATGTGTTTGTACCTCAAAAATGTCACCTGTCCACTCTTTAAAACACTGCTGATAGATAGCTTAATAAGTTTTCCTCTTCTGTCATGCCAGATCTGAAAGATTAGTTAGATAACAGTTTCAGTTTGGCAGGAAAAAAATGTCATTGCAATAGATTTTTTTGTTCATCAAACTGCTAGAAACAACCCGTCCAGTCATTTGCCACAAAACCTTTTTACTTGACAGGTCTTGCAGTAGCTGGTGCGCATGCTTACAAGTGAGTGGGAGAAATTCTGAGAGGGGTCTGGCGTCAGACCTGCACTGTCAGGACCCAGAGCTGCACTGTGAGGTCTCCTGCGCTGTTAGAACCAGATTTTTTTCCGAAGACTTTCTAAAGTAATAAACTCCCCGTGAAGCTACCTTCCTTTCACGAACAAGTGTTGTTAAGCTGGAAATTTATGTACACTCACAATTATACTTCCCACCAAACCCCTATCTGGAATAATAGATATGTGCAAAATAGGAATAAGTCTCTGTATTTGCCACGCTGCATGGAAAAGGGCATTTGATCTATAAGACATTTTCTAAACAACAACAGAGGTTGGCTGTCCTATAAGGATTTTTGTTTTCAGTATAGTTTAAACTTCTTCTATGCTCAATTTAACACTGTCACAAACTCTAATCCGGCAGCAAACACATGCTGCGTGCTATTCCCATTGGCTTCAAATAGACCGGAATAGACTTCCACAATGCAAAACATTAAAATCTAAAAAGGCACATTTTTCTTAAAATAAGTTAATTTTTTCTTGAACTGAGGAGCAAAGTGATATATTGGCAATGGACCAAGACAATTTACATTTAAAATAAGAAAAAAAAAACAATTGCATTGTCTTATTTCAACTGCATATTATCTAATTCTCTATTTTTAAGAGTAAAAATACTCAACCCATTGACAAATCATTTTATTTACCAACTCAAATTAAGGGTAAATACACTTATTTCAAGAAGTTTAGACTTATTTGTACATCGTATTTCCAGTGCGGTTCTTATAATGCAGAAGACCCCAATTTGCATATCTGCAACGAAGGGTCCTGACCGTGCAGGAATGCAGCCAGACTCTCTTGGAAATTCTGGGCTGTGTTGTGGACAAGTAACCAGAGCTAGAACTCAAACTTAAGGCCCAAGTTATAAACTATTTACAAAGGCACTTCAAGCTAATATACTTGATGTTGGGCTGTGAATCCTAACATGCTTGACATTGGCGTAGGTTTGCATAGGGACCATAGGGACATGTCCCTAACAAAATTTTGGACTGACCTACTTGTCCCTACCAACAATTAGATGTGAATAACATGTTTATAATTTACAATACAGCATTGTTGCAGCAGTAGAGGAGTTCTGGATGGAGAATATTGAAAGACGAAAACATTTTTGATCTAAAATGCAAAATGTTTGTATATTTTTTTGCAATTATGCTATAATTCCCACTGTAAGTGGGTCGCTCTGCGAGCTGAAGACATGTTTTAGAGTCTCTATACTCCAGTTAATGATTAATCAATGACTAAATTTGTTGACATTTCAATAATTGATTATTTCGATCAATTGTTTCAGCCCAAGATAAAATACATGATATGGCTTAAATAGAGTATCTACAGCCTACATGACTTGTAGGGTAAAATTAATATTCTGAATGCTCATTGTCAGTTCCAGTGCTCATGTAAATGCAATAAATGTATTTGGTTTCCCTTGAATCTATTATTTTGCTTTGTTTCATGATACAGAGAGAAAATTTAAAAGTTAAGATTGTGTTTTATCTCTGTTTACCTCTGCACAATTGTATATGATCAAAAGCAGGATAAATTCAGATATAAAAGACATATTTAGACTATCTTTTGTTGAATAGGCACAGATTTACTTTCTGTCTTAGTCGCTGGTAATTTCAAATGCAAACCTTTTCAAAGTGGAAAAAAAGTCAAATTCCACATTCGTCAGAGCCAGTGATGCTTCAAAGATTAATAAATCTAGTGTGTGTAGCACTTATAAAATTTGTACAAATGTAGCAAGAAATGCTGCTTTTTTTCTTTAAACAAAATACACCATGATTTTCACATCAAGCATAAAAAAATGACTGCATATTTTTGCATAGGACCAATGACATCAGACCAATAGTGTCCCTACCAAAGTTGAAATCAAACCTACGCCCTTGATGCTTGAGGCTCCTCTCAGGAGCTTGGTGCATGCCATAGGGGTACATCCCATGATAGGATGTCACCTGTGCAATTAGCCATTTCATGTGAATTCATCCCTGCAATATGTTGTCTATCTCACAGCTGTTTGTATTATAGCAAAATATAAGCATGTGGCAATGACAGAAACTCCATTACAAATATTAGACCATGTAATAATACTGTTAGAGGATGTTGAGACTCGGGGTGGGTGATAGCTACAGACCTCTACACTTCAAGTTGCTTTACTGCAGATTAGCTCAGGAACTGTTTGTAGCAACCTTTAGTAATTTATTTATTTTTTCACCTTTGGGAAGCTGCTGCTACTTTCAAGCCAAGCGTAATTCAAAAGACCTGATTTTGTGGTGTCAAGGCCACTGCCAATAGCACATTGGCAGTCCATTTCCTGTCTGTGTCGACTGAAATGTTTTTTTTCATACATGATTAATGTGTGAAGCTTTTCTAAACTCTGTGGGAAGATTTTGCAGCCGCCTCCTTTTTGTTACAACGTGGCTGCTCACGGGTGCCAAAAACCAGGCCCAAAAAGAATTTGACTGCCTTGCAGAGAAGCTTGATCACAACGTGACAGAACAGTTTGGAAATGAATAAGAGCAGAGATTGCAATCCAGTCCTTCTAGTTCCACACCAGTGTTAATCATAGACACACCCCTAATAAATGGAAAAGCCTCCCTTAAACAGAGGTCACTGAAAGAGCAAAGTGGGATTAATATTTTATTAAACCCTATAGATTAGTATCCTTTTGCATTTTGCCTAAATTGTGTGTCAAGGCAGGCAGACCACAACAGTACTGGTGGTGGTGTTATATACAGTATTATGTTTGTATGTTACTCATTTAACACCAGGGGCGATTCTAGGATCAGAGGTTTAGGGCTGCTGAGCACCCAAAGAGCTAACTGGCCAGACAAGATTAATTTCATAGTTTTCTACACATATTTTGAAACTTGTTCAATGTGTTTTGATAATGACTGACTCCGTCATTCACTAATGCATCGTATCTGAGATGTGTGCAAAAAAAAAACTAACAAGCAAAGCAAAAAGCAGCATTTCTTAGAAGATTATTCCAACCAATTAAAGCTTTAAAATGAACTAACCTTGGAATTAGTTTTCATGAAATGACTTTTCTCCTTTGTTTGCCAAAATTACTTCCATGATATATGTAAAATAATCTACTGAATGAAACGTTTTTCTTTGGCAGTTTAACAACTGCTGCTATTGTGTCTGTTTTCTTACCTGTTTTTTCCTATTCTTTCACTTTGCTTCCCATTGCACACCTCTTCCTCTTTAAACTGGCAATCATAAAACGGATTGCAAATTCAAATAACTAGAAACTGAAAAAATGATAACAATTTACTAATGATGCAGTAAATGTAAATATTGATATTGAGTTGTGGTTTTAAAGATAATCAAACAAACCAGTGTCAGACACATTAGAGCACCCCGCTGATGAACATTTCATCAACACACCATCAATAGGTGCAGAAATCGGACTAAGCATTTTAAAAACACCTGCAGTGTTTTCCTCAAAGCGTTGGTCAACATTTTAGTTAAGGAGCTCCATCAGGCTTGTTTACTTGACTTTTTGTTTATTATTATTTCTGATGAACCAAAACATAATTGAAGGGGTTAAATAACCAAATACTGTATAGTTTTACTATGTCACTTTTTTATTGTAAAATGCGCATACAGTATTACAAAAACAACTCATATTTTAGGGGTGCTTTCAGTCAAATTAGGGATGCTTCAGCATCCCCAATAATAGCCTAAAAACGCCTAGGTTTAACATGATAATTTTTTTCACAAAAACACAAAGAAGAATATCTACCTTTAAGCAAACTGATTAAGGGTGTTAATGTTAAAAACTAAATCAATAAAGGACACATTTCTGTTCACCTTTCATCTTGCAACATTAGTTCTTAATTATACTAATTACTTATCTCAAATTTTAACCAAGAAACATAGTTTGAGCCTGAAATGTTGCAAAATGTATTTTATTTAAAATAGATTCATCCTTATAGTTTGTCCTTTAAAAACATGGTTCACTGCCCACATTAATCACAAATA